GGCGATATTATCACAGGTGCACCCAGACCACAGTGAATGCACTGTGGCATTTGCGTCACTAACTTTAACTCCAGCTGAAAGGCGTTATTCAACTGTGGAGAAGGAGGCTTTAGCATGTGTCTGGGCAGTCGAAAAGTGGCGCATATACCTCTGGGGCAGGCGTTTCACACTGCGCACTGATCACCAGGTGCTGACAATCTTGCTGTCTACACGGGGAGCTGGATGGGCTGGGAAGCGTATCGCGCGGTGGTCAGCTCGCCTTCTGTGCTTCACTTATGACGTGGTGTATCGTGCTGGTTCATCAAACCATGCTGCAGACTGCCTATCACGGTTACCCCTTCCTCTTACCTCTGCTTCCAACCCCGACGATGAACCAGAGCTAGTTTCATTGCTGTCTACCTCCTTGACCGCGATTTCACCAAGCGAGTTTGAAACTGCTGCAGCCTCGTGTCCTGACCTCTGTGCGCACTCAAATAACGAAAGGCTGGCCGGATTCCATAAAAGCTGTGCATACCGAGCTGCAGCCCTATTATCATGTAAGGAATGAGCTTAGTGTCAACTACAAAGTGTTATATAGAGAGACCCCTCTAGTAGTTCCAGTGACATTGCAACACACAGTTATAGCGCTTGCGCACGAGAGTCGCCGGGAATTCATATGAACAAAGCAGCGCGTACGTGAACTGTACTGGTTCCCTGGAATGGATAAAGTGATCCAGACGCACGTCTCCTCTTGCGAGTTGTGTCAAATATTGGATAAATCTGCACAGACTTTTACCGCCCCTCTCCAACCAGTTCCCTTCCCAGAGGCACCATGGAGTAAACTGGGCATGGACATTGTTGGTACGTTTGAGACCACTGTTTGGGACTGTAAGTATGCTATTACCTTGATTGACTACCATTCCAAATGGCCGGAAGTGGCCTTTACATAATCCGTGACCACTGGTGTTGTGATTGACTTTCTCAATGGTGTCTTTAGTCACCATGGTTACCCGGTTGAGTTGGTTATGGATAACATGCCACAACTCACTTCAGATGCATTCACAACCTTTCTGCGAGAATGAGGCATTACTCCAGTATGCACAGCTGTGTATCATCCAGCAGCGAATGGTGCCATAGAAAGCTTTAAAAGGGTTCTTAAGGACTGTGTACAGTCGGCTATAGTACAGTCTAAGGCCATGGAAGCATACGGTTACTGACTTTCTCCAAGTTTACCGTTCTACTCCACATGCCACCATGGGAGTTTCTCCCTTTGAACTGCTTCATGAACAGAAGATGAGAACAAAACTGAACATTGCACTTCCTCCTCCTGCCAGTACCCTCCAGCCAGCGACTGTTCGTAAGCGAGTTGTCCTTAAGCAATCACAGATGAAGAGCTACACTGATGCTAAACACGGTGCACAAACACTTATCCTGAAAAAGGGGGACAAGGTGCGAGTGCATAAGCCCTTTCATGTGCCGAAGGGACATTGCACATTTTCAGACCCTGTTGGAATTGAGGAACATGTGGGTCCAAGTACTTACTTACTAGAGGATGGAATGTGAATTCGGTCTGGAATAAAGTGTTGTTAATCCAAGGAATCCGTGTGCCGTCATATTTTTTTTTGTTTTGTAAAAGTAAGTTACAGTACAACAGAATGTTAATTCAATGTGTTTTTCATAGGCTATAAATAAATTAAAAAACTAAATATGAATTACCAGACACAAAAAATGAAATTACATTTATAGTTTATCAACCCAGCAAGTACAAGTTAAAGGTGCTGCACTTTCAGTTTCCTTCATAGTTTTGTAATAAATTTCCTCAAAATTGGGGCGAGTGAATTGTTGTTGGCGGTGACAAATTTACCATAGTTACAAAAATGTGCCGATAGCTATTCTTATATTTGGGTAAAAAATTATACAAATTCGTTATAATAGGGTACAATACTCTGAAAAATCTAAAGTACAATGATGTAAATATGCACAGTGCAGTACTCAGTGGAGGTAATGTGCTGCAGTATTCAGTTCGGTCAGCAGGCGACAGTAGAGCGCGGTGTCACATGCATCTGCTGCAGATGTAGAAACAGCAGCAGCTGTAGTGTGGCATTAAGATAAACATCAGCAGTAAGATCATGGAGGTAACAGTAAAAAAGAAGGCCAAAATCCCAGAGGAGAAAAACAAAAAACCGGCCAGGAAAGAGGAGGAGCAGAAAGAGTAGCAGGAGCTGGTGAAAGAGAAAAACAGCCTCTCTGCATGCACTTAAACATATTCACATACGGCCATTAATATTCATTATTAGTCATGATTTAATGTATTAGTGAGTACAAATCAATGCTAGCAACTGACTTTTGACCCCACTCATCGATTTAAGAAAGAAAAAGATAATTTCATTAGTCAGTAAGGATACATAGAATTTAAAACTATGGTTCAAAAGCGAAAATTCAGGATTCACATGGATGAAAACCATAAACCATCAAACATAAATAATCAATTAATAATCAATTAATTAATCAAACTTAAATCAACACTCAAATAGTTATAAAGGAGTAGTAAAATAATTAAATTGCACAGAAGGCAGTTTTTTTTAATAGAGTGGTGGAAGTATGACATAGTTTTGTAGGCCAAAATCTGGAAGCAAGTTAGCATTTGAGCACTTCCGGTTCCATCATCCTAAAGTCATTGGGTTTTTTAATGGGTTTTTGGTAAAATGGCTGAAATAAGGTCTGTGATTAACATCAGTTCAAGATATTTTCACATTTTATTTTACATGATAAAATACATCAGTATTACCCTACTCATGATTTTTAAAAGCTGTTACATGTCTTGAAAAAGACGGTTGCTAACAAGTGGCTAAATCGGACTACAGAGGCCGGCGGCAATATTAAACGTCATCACATCAAACAAGTAAGCTCAGTCCCCTTTTACAGTCTCGTTATGCTTATAATTGTGCACTTACAGACTATTTTAATTCAAACTTTCCGGGAAAATGTTTTTAGAAAAAGAATAAAAGAGCTGTCGGAGGCTTAGTGGTGGTCATGTTCGCTTATAGCGTACCATTAGCTTTTTGCTTCTGGCGACTGCATTTAGGCTTCAAAAGTTATAAAAGTTGTGTTCATCTGTGAAAATTATCTTGATGGACAAAACGTGTAAGGATACATTTTTTGTTAAGCACAGAGCTTATTTTTTTTGCGATAATCCAAAAGCCTATGGGAAAATCCTATTGGGGTTTTGTCAAGGGAACCAGCGTGATGCTAACTGCAAGTTGGCCTAAATTTACATCATATTATCCAGCACTCTATAATGGAACTGTTTCTAGTCCAATTTGTTGGTGAAACAGTAATTAATTATTTATGAGCCTACAATGAAGCGCTTTACTGCAGCGTTAATTAACTCAACCAAACTCATCCTATATATATATATATATATACACAGGGCCTTGCGAAAAAGTATTCATACCCCTTCATTTTTTTCACGTTTTGTTATGTTGCTGTCTTATGCTAAACTGCTTTAAATTACTTTTTTTCCACATCAATCTACACTCTGTACACCATAATGGTAAAGCAAAAAACAGGTTATTAATATCTTCACAAATTTATTAAAAATAAAAAACTTAAATGATTCCATTGCGTAAGTATTCATACCCTTATCTGGGACAGTTGAAATTTAGCTCAGGAGCATTCATATTGCTTGTAGATGTTACTACACTTCAAGTGAAGTTAACCTGTGGCAAATTCAGTTGAATGGGTATGATTTGGAAAGGCACACACATCTTAATAAAAGGTCTAACAGCTGATAATGCATATCAGAGCAAAAACCAAGCCCTGAGGTCAAAAGAACTGCCTGTAGAGCTCAGAAACAGGTTTGCATCAAGCCACACATCCGGGGGAGAGTTCAGAAAAAAAATCTGCTACACTGAAGGTTCACAGAAGCATGTAGTCTCTGTTACCCTTAATGGAAGACGTTTGAAACAACCAGGACTCTTCCTAGAGCTGGGTTTTATGGCAGTGTGGCCAAACTCAATCCTCTCTTCAGTTAAGACACATGAAAACATGCTTGGAATTTGCAAAAAAAAAGCACCTAAAGGACCTCAGACTGTGAGAAACAATATTCTCTGGTCTGAGGAACCTAAATTCCAAGCATCATGTTTGAAGGAAACCAGCTCCGCTCATCACCTGCAGAGTACCATCCCAAAAGTAAAGTGTGCTGGTCGCAGCCTCATGCTGTGGGGCTGTTTTTCAGAGGCAGGGACTGAGGGACTCGTCAGAGTGGAAGAAAAGCTCAGTGCACCAAAATATTGAGTTAGTCTTAATGAAAACCCAGTCCAGAGCATTCAGAACCTCAGACTGGGCAGAAGGTTTACCTTCCAACAGGACAATGACCCGAAGCACACAGCAAGAGTGGCTTATAGACAACTCTGTGAATGTCCTTGAGTGGCCCAGCCACAGCCTGGGCTTGAACCCAATCAAATATTTCTGGAGAAACTTGAAAATGTGCATCTGCCCCCATCCAACCTGACAGAGCTTGAGAGGTGAAGAGGTGAGGAGAAGAATAGCAGATAATTGCCAAATGCTGATGAGCAAAGCTTGTCGCATCAAACAAAAAACACTTGAGGCTGTGAAGGTGCTTCAGCTAACTATTTAGTCTTTTTTTAAAATTAATTTACGAAGTTGTGACAATTCTGTTTTTGCTTTGTCAATATGGCATATGGAGTGTAGATTGATGTGGGAAAAAAAACAAATTTAAGGCTGCTTAACATAAGCCAGCAACATAAAACGTGAAAAAAATGATGTATGATAATATATGGCACTGTATATATATAATATATCTGAAATATCTCACATTTATATATATATACACACACACAAAGTATTACAACTTACAATTGCACAAAAGCATGCGAATACACAAGTGAACTTGACTGTACCAGTCATGAAGGTGAACACTGTGGATGCGCACTCCCTATAACAATGCACTGAAACATGGAGCACAAAGAATTCAGAGCATTCTTTTACAGTTGGATTCTCATTATAATTTTATGGAGCCTATATGACAGATTTGTGCTGCACATGCTGCCCTTAGCTGTATTTTCTTTTTTCGAAGTTATTCCAAGCAATTCAAATCCATCATTGCAAACAACGCCCATCTGTCTCAGCTGAAGAAAATAATTATTTATTGGCTTTAATATATCAGCCTAATTTTCCTATTGGATCGATAACGATAATATTAAAAATGAGCATTTATTGCCGATACCGATATGGTAGCCGATATAGCATGCATACCAATGTTTTAAATTTATACTGTGCATTTATACAAATAAAACGGTTAATCTATGAATGAAAAACTGTAATTTGCTGCTCTGAAATTAAAGGTGTTTCACTGCCACCTCATCAGGTCTGTCAGAGGATCATTGAAATCTAAATGAATTCTACATTTATAACAGTTAAGTCACTGTATCTTCAGTCTCTGTTGATTCTGTTGACTGTGAGTCTCAGTAGAGGATCCTTATTCACCATCAGATCATCATGAGAAGATCAGACTGTCATCTAATATAAGTCCTAAAATAAAACACAAACAGTATGAGACATTACGTCTGTCACATCTTTTCATGAGAAAACTTAGCACTAACTAGATAGAAGCTATATTAATTAATTCTCAAACATGATAATATAGCTTCTATCTAATGCTCAAAGTCACTTTACAAAATCAAAAGAATATAAAAGGTCACTTTCACACAATGGACAGCTGATACAGAACCAGCAGAAATGATCATTACACACCACTACAAATGTAATATCAGTAAATAACAAGCAACCCAAATCTCAGATTATCACACAGAGATATTTAAAGGGTAAAAGCTGAAAATAACATTACTATTATTTTCACAATCAGTCACAGCACAATGAGTAGAATTAAACTCAGATCGTTAAAATAGGGCCCTTTAATTCAGCTTCAGTTTCTGTAGGTTAACTGAACTTTAAACCGTTTGATATAAGCACATGGTCTAAAGCGCACAGCGCAGGTACACTCAGGGTGTGCCCGTATCCACTTTTGCTAGTTTAACGACGGGAAAACTGTCGGCGCGTCTAGGTGCATGGTCTAAACGGGCTGTCCCTATTCTCTTAATGAGTAGTGGGTGTGTTTTGGGCGTAACATGCTATAAACCAATCAGAGTCTCATCTCCCATCTCCTTTAAAAGCCAGTTGCGCTCGCGCCATGGCGGGTTCGCTATTTACATGGCGGAATGTAATTTTTCATTTTTAAAAATGTTTGTGTGCTGCTGCGTGTCCCTGTGTGTGTGTAATAAGCAAAGTGTACGTGCAGTGTGCACCCGCCTATAGGCGCATATTACTAACGCACTCTTTAAATAACAAAGAAAAAATATTGCGCCATACTTTAAACCAGGTTTGAGTTGGTCTATGGCGCAGTCTATTTTCAGGTCCGCAAAATAGCAACGCGCCACAATGCGCCTGAACACACCTCTTTTTTAGACCAGCACGCCCATGGGCGCACAATTGGGCGCAAATGCATTTGCTATTTAAACAACGAGGCGCAGTTGAATGAGAACTGCATTGGACTGAAACTAGCAAAAACACTTGCGCCATGGTCTAAAGCGCACAGCGCAGGTACACTCAGGGTGTGCCCGTATCCACTTTTGCTAGTTTAACGACGGGAAAACTGTCGGCGTGTCTAGGTGCATGGTCTAAACGGGCTGTCCCTATTCTCTTAATGAGTAGTGGGTGTGTTTTGGGCGTAACATGCTATAAACCAATCAGAGTCTCATCTCCCATCTCCTTTAAAAGCCAGTTGCGCTCGCGCCATGGCGGGGTCGCTATTTACATGGCGGAATGTAATTTTTCATTTTTAAAAATGTTTGTGTGCTGCTGCGTGTCCCTGTGTGTGTGTAATAAGCAAAGTGTACGTGCAGTGTGCACCCGCCTATAGGCGCATATTACTAACGCACTCTTTAAATAACAAAGAAAAAATATTGCGCCATACTTTAAACCAGGTTTGAGTTGGTCTATGGCGCAGTCTATTTTCAGGTCCGCAAAATAGCAACGCGCCACAATGCGCCTGAACACACCTCTTTTTTAGACCAGCACGCCCATGGGCGCACAATTGGGCGCAAATGCATTTGCTATTTAAACAACGAGGCGCAGTTGAATGAGAACTGCATTGGACTGAAACTAGCAAAAACACTTGCGCCACATTGCGCCGGGTGTATGATAGGGCCCAAAGACTCATTATCTGATGATCTCAAACTAAATATTCACACACACACATGGTGTGACTGAACATGGTACAATTTCCTTTTATTTCTAGTGAGTAAAACAGCCATTTGAACTTAAAATGACAATATGATGAAAATTGCTAGAAACTATTGTTACCATAGTGTCTCCAGTTTATAATGTGGATCATTCTTCAGATCAGAGAGCAGCTTCACTCCAGAGTCTCCTAGTTTATTCCCAGACAGATTCAGTTTTCTCAGGTGTTCAGGGTTTGATCTCAGAGCTGAAGCCAGAGCAGCACAACCTTCATCTGTGACACCACAGTCATACAGCCTGTAGAAAACAATGACACACTCTTCACTCTCTCAGATCAAACAAGGACTTTCTCTTGATCACATTCAAACTAACATTGTGATGATAAGGTGAGAGAGACTATGAGAAAAAAATGATCAATTTAGAGATGAATAGTAATTTTCCTCTGAAATCATATTATTCTTATTTTTGCCCCCTGAACACAATATTCAGATACTGAAACCCTGACATCCAATTCTACGACAGATATATAATATTGATTAATAATAATTGATATTACACCTATAGCTCTCCTAGAAACACACTGGCAGCAGTGTGGGAGGCAGGGGTGTGTTCAATAGAAATCGCGTTCCAGGGTGGTGGTGGCTCCCTCAGTAGAAATCGCATTCTGGGGCGAGGGGGAGGGTGGTTGGGCGTCCCCCTCAGTAGAAATCACGTTACGGGAGCACCGGTATCCAACAAAAAATGCCACTTTCACTTTCGAGATGAAAGGGTCAGGAACTCACACCCCTGATTTAAATCAACATTTCGGAGGGCATTTACACCTGGTGTTTTCATGATCAGATGATTATCGGATCAGAGAAAACACATGAAGTGACCAGGTGTAAATAGGCCATATGACTCTTTACTTATTCATCCCGATGTTCCCACTCTTGGGTGGAGAGTGTTCTTCAACAGAATGAATGCAAATTCTTAATGTTTCTTTCAGGGAATAGTGACTTATGCTCATGCATTTAGCTGGTGGTGGTCTGGGGTTTGCTTTTCAAGATTTGTTAATGCCATTTTCTTACTATATCTGATAGTCGGATTGCTCCAACACATCGCACAAACATTGCATTTCCTTTTCAAAGAATGAACTCTTTCAGATGCTGGATGGAGAATGACATTCAGCTTGTCTTTTCAGAACTCCCCACAAGTGTTCTATTGGGTTGAGGTCTGGTGACATAAAGGATCTACTTTTATTTGTGTACACTCACAATAACAACAAAACGTTGTACTTTTGTAAAATAAAGAAAACAAACAGGGTGCGCTTTCTCCTGTCTCGCCATTTCATAAATCTCTAAAGGATGAAGGATGTGTTCATTACGGCAAACATTCAGAAGGCAGGACCTGCTTTGAAACCGCAACATTAATTGGTTTAATTGCAGGTGAGTGACAATTCAACTATATCGAATGAACAATAAGGCTAGTATTTTGCTGCCTGACTTGACTGGTGGACTAGCTCAGTGGTTCTCAACCCCCATCTAGACCCCCATCATATCTCAAACCATCCTCATGGACCCTCTACCCAATATTGATATTGATTGTTTTTGTGCTGTCCATTTTTCTTAACCTTTCTGGTGTGTGAGGTTCACTGGTAGATGATCCCATCAAGTTTTTTTAAGCCACCTGTCTATAAGCAGGTCTCGATAGCTATTTTAAATTTTATTTGGCGATATATTGCCCCAGAAATACTTGCAAGGAACAATATTATTGTTATTTTAAGACCATTTTATGCAACTGGCTATGCAGTGATATTTCAGCAGTGTCAGCGCTGGGCTGTCAGTCATTGTTACGCCAGCATGTGGCGCAATGGATTGCCTTTACGAGTGAGTCATCATTAAAAACCACTCATTCAATGGATAACACACATGCTCGGTCTCTCTGTCTGTGTGTGTGAGGACTTGCCTGAGCCCCGCCTCTGCCTCACACACAGAGAGCAGAGGAGATGACAGAGGCAGCGCGATTGGCTAAAATATTGGTGAAATTCATTTTTTTACATAAACAAACACCCATATAAACACAATGGGCAATATACCAAAACCTTTCACAGTCATGTGCATATCCCATGTGATAAGTCGATATAGTAATTATCGCGACAGGCCTACCTGTCCATAGTGGCTGCACTGTTCTCCAAAGAGAACTTTAACCTAAAATTTTCTGGTTTTAATAATTATATTAGTGTCAGTATACAATAAAATATCATGTCAGTTTATGATAAAAGAAAAAATGTTTTAAACATTTTTGTAATGATTCTACGGACCCCCTGCAATTACATGATGGACCACTAGGGGTACAGTACCCCCGGTTGAGAAACACTGGACTAGTGTATAGGGGATGTTACGGTTATGGAGGCCCTAGGCAATTGCCTGTTCTGCTTATAGGTAGCGGCGGCCCTGAGATAAGTTGATTTACACCAAGCATTTGTGATTTAAACAAAACAAAACAAAAAACTTTCCTGTAACCTGTATCTGTTGTATGGTTTGTAGTTTGTTTGGTTTATTTAACTGTTAGTTTTACTTTTTTGTGGTATAATAATATATTAAGATCTTTTTCGGGTAGACTCCTCACCCCTGCCTTCAACTGCTGACAAGATCTGACGGTTCAAGCAGGAATCTGTCTCTGAATGCCAAAAGATATATTGTATGCATTATCTACATGTTAATCTTTAATCACTCCGAGTCTTTATGGTAGAGATGATATTACCTCAATTCCTCCAGTTTACAGTGAGGATTCTCCAGTCCAGTAGAGAACAGCTTCACTCCTGAGTCCTCAAGATTATTATATGACAGATCCAGTTTTCTCAGGTGTGAGGGGTTTGATCTCAGAGCTGAAGCCAGTGCAGCACAACCTTCATCTGTGACACCACAATCCAACAACCTGTAGAGAACAATGACACTCGTCACTCTCTCAGATCAACAGAGACTTCATTATCAAAGAGAAACCAGTAACATAAACTCAAATCACCATGTTAGATGGATCTTGGTCTGTGTCACAGAGCACAAAACATAATCATAACACACCTGCAGTAAAATTCAAGCAGGAAAAATATATATTTCTTAATTGTATGCTCAAAATTTGTGCAATATCTATTTTTTAACCAATTCAATATCAGTGAGTTTTATAACCTGTAGAGAACAATGACACTCGTCACTCTCTCAGATCAACAGAGACTTCATTATCAAAGAGAAACCAGTAACATAAACTCAAATCACCATGTTAGATGGATCTTGGTCTGTGTCACAGAGCACAAAACATAATCATAACACACCTGCAGTAAAATTCAAGCAAGAAAAATATATATTTCTTAATTGTATGCTCAAAATTTGTGCAATATCTATTTTTTAACCAATTCAATATCAGTGAGTTTTAGTTATTCTAAGGTATGTGAGAGAGAAAGATTAGAAGACAATTATAAATATAAATAACAAATTAAAACTGTATATCACATAAAAATTTAGACAAACTGTATCAGAATGGGTTATCTTAAAGCTCAAGCCTAGCTCACCGTCATTCAAAAAAAAAATCAACTTAAATGGTCGTGGACAGCTGTGAGAAGGGAGGGGAGAAAAAGGGGGATGAACGTACTCGATTTCAAACGTAACCTCAGTTCCCTGAGATACGGGAACGAGCACTGCGTCTTGCTAGACGTTATGGGAAAAAGTAATTTTTTTCTCCTGAACTGAAGCCTTTTTCAATCACGCAGTGAAACTGCACGGCCATTGGTTCGTGCAGTATGTTTTAAAAACAAACCAATGGCTCGGCAGCGGTGCTGCACGAACCTATGGCCGCGAAGCCTGCATCTACTTAAATGGTCGTGGACAGCTGTGAGAAGGGAGGGGAGAAAAGGGGGATGAACGTACTCGATTTCAAACGTAACCTCAGTTCCCTGAGATACGGGAACGAGCACTGCGTCTTGCTAGACGCTATGGGAAAAAGTAATTTTTTTCTCCTGAACTGAAGCCTTTTTCAATCACGCAGTGAAACTGCACGGCCATTGGTTCGTGCAGTATGTTTTAAAAACAAACCAATGGCTCGGCAGCGGTGCTGCACGAACCTATGGCCGCGAAGCCTGCCAAAGCCTGCCAGGATGGGCGGAATCATCTGGCTATATAAGCGGCCCCTTCGCCATAAGATTCAGGTTACTTCGACTGAAGCGAAGAATGAGTCAGCTAGCAACACAGTACTCGTTCCCGTATCTCAGGGAACCGAGGTTACGTTTGTAACTGAGTACATTCCCTATCGATACTACACTCGTACTGCGTCTTGCTAGACGCTATGGGAACAGTACAATCACACCGTGTCGTGGCAGAGGAACGACAATGGTAATCCTTGTCCTAAGCACCTCAGGGCCCAAGAGAACAAGAACAATAAATCCCTCCAGGCTAACGGGCTAAGCCTCACGTAGGCCTCACACAGCCGAGTGATCATTCCAGAAGACTTGTGCAGCCTCAGCACCTATGGGGGCAGAGAGCGCACAAGTAAGCTCTCTGATAGGTCTGGGCATATTGCATCCAAACTGCACTTAGACGAACTGCGCGCCAGTTAAGCAGAAAGAACCCTTGCCTGCAAGGCAGGAACATCCAGGTTATAGAACCTAGCAAAAGTGGACAGCGAGGCCCAGCCGGCCGCCACACAAATTTCTGCAATGGTCACGCCGCCAGACCACGCCCACGAAAAGGCGATGCCTCTAGTTGAATGGCTTTGTACTCCAATGGGGCATTGTAGACCCAAGGAAGAGTAGGCTAGCCGAATAGTGCCAATTATACACTTAGAAAGTCTTTGCTTCGTGACCGGGTGTCTTTTAGCGTGGCCACCGAAGCAAACAAAGAGCTGTTCTGACTGCCTAAACTGGGCAGAATGCTCAATGTAAACCTTCAGAGCCCTAATGGGGCAGAGTAAATTCAACTCCTGGTCCCTCTTCTGAGGGAGGAAGCACAGAGAGGTTGATAACCTGTGCTCTGAATGGAGTCGAGAGCACCTTAGGTGTATAGCCATGCCTTGGTTTCAGGACGACCTTGGAGTCGCCAGGCCCGAACTCCAGGCAATTAAGGCTTACAGAGATTGCCTGCAAGTCCCCCACTCGCTTGACCGATGCTAACGCTAGTAGCAGAGCGGTTTTAAATGACAGGGACCGGAGGTCGACGGACTGCAGCAGCTCGAAGGGAGGACTCTTTAGGGCCCTCAGAACAGTGGGCAGGTCCCACATAGGGACAGTGAGAGGACGGGGCGGATTTAGCCTTCTGGCTCCCCTCAGAAAATGAACAATGAGGTTGTTCCTGCCTACCAATTGGCCCGCTATAGGGGCATGAGAAGCCGCTTTCATTGCCACATAGACCTTGAGCGTGGATGGGGAGCATCCCTTATCCAACAGCTCTTGCAGGAAGGACAGTATCATCGATACGTCACAAGTGAGCGGGGTCTCCGCCGCGGTTTGAGCACCAGGCGGAGAACATTGACCATTTAAGGGCATAGAAGCATCTTGTAGACGGAGCTCTAGCCTGAGAAATGGTGTTCAATACACACTCTGGGCGACTAACAGGCTCCCGTTGAGTGGCCACAGGTGTAAGGCCCACAGCTCTGGCCTGGGGTGCCATATCATCCTGTTCGCCTGGGAGAGGAGATCTCGCCTCAGGGGAATAGGCCACGGGGCTGCTATTAGCAGCTAAAACAGCTCTGCTAACCAATGCTGGTTTCTCCAGAGCGGGGCCACCAGGAGCACTTTGTGTTTCTGTTCCCTGATCTGCCTGATTACTGGCGGAATCAGGGCGACTGGGGGATAAGCGTAGAGAAGGAGGTTGGGCCAGTCGTGGGGAATAATAGATTGGGCAGTGAGAATTGTCTTCTGAGGCAAAGAGGTCTACTTCCGCCCTGCCGAAGATTTCCCAAATTTTATGAACCATCTGCGGATGAAGCATCCACTCCTCTGAAGGGACCTTGCTTTGCGACAACATGTCTGCTCCCTGGTTCAGTTTGCCCAGAACGTGTGCTGCTCTCAGCGAACATAGATTGAGCTGGGCCCATTCCAAGTGGAGCTCTACTAGTACAAGGAGCCGCATCGAGGACAGTCCCCCCTGGTGATTTATGTAGGACACCACCGTCATGCTGTCTGAACGGACCAAGACAGGATGACCTTTGAGGTCTGGTATGACGGTTCGGAGTTCACAACAAACGCATTGTCATCGGCACCCGGAACTGGACGGGGTGCTTGGAGGCATTACAGAGGCCGTTTAGGGGCGCTATACTCAATGCTCTCGTAGCGAGAGCAGTCAGCCCCTGTGGGCGTGGCCCAGACGTGTCTAGAATCTGAAGCTGTCAGTGGTAATCATTAGTGACAACATTCCCTTTCAATCCACCTAAAAAGATCAAAACTGCTCATTAGAAGAGGGGTACTGATGATCTTTGTGTAAACACATAGGCAGATCAAAAGTACTGCGCACATTCTCTCAAATCCACTCCTAGCGGACGAGGGGAGAGCGGGGCCGCCCCCGTGAGCGCAGCAGAGTGAGACACATGCTCTTGTAGCAGTCTGTCAGTGAGCGCAGTCTCGGCGTGGGCATGGCCCGGCACACTCAACTCAAAGATGTCAGCGATATGAAGTCATTGGTGACAACCGATCTGCTTAGAAGGATTGAGCCACTCGACGAAAGCGAGAGGCACTGATCCTCACATGAAAAACACGCTGGCCGATCAAAGAGCTGCGTGGAGTGTGACTCATGCGGGAGCCGTGCCGGCGTAAAAAACACTCAAGCCTGATCATTTAACCCGCGCATTCACTGTTTCTTTCTCCGATGTAACTGGGAGGGGAGAAACGCGAGAGCAGGGACAAACTCACGCTTCAAAAGTGAAAGCAGCCTCCGCGACACACACACAAATGCGAAGCTGCGCTGCTCGATGAAACGAGGGGCGCTGATCCTCACGTGTAACACACACTGGCGGATCAAGTGAGGCATGCGGGATGTGTGTCAGTTTAACCCGCGCATTCACTGTTTCTTTCTCCGATGTAACTGGGATGGGAGAAACGCGAGAGCAGGGACAAACTCACACACAAATGCGAAGCTGCGCCGCTCGATGAAACGAGGGGCGCTGATCCTCACGTGTAACACACACTGGCGGATCAAGTGAGGCATGCGGGATGTGTGTCAGCATAAGATCACTCAAGCCTGATCGCTCAAACCAAATTCGCCATTTCTTCCTCCGAGGTAACCGGGAGGGGGAGAAACATGAGAGCGGGAGGGGACCAGCGAGCGAAGCAGGAACAGACTGGGGATTTCGAATGAAAGCAGCCTGTCTGAGCGCAGCTTCAGTGCCGCACACACAATGCGAAGCTGTCAGCAATAGAGAGGTGACAGTGTTCTGATCCACCCAGGAGGTTAGAGCCGCTCGATGTAACGAGGGGCACTGATTCTCACATGTAAAACACACCGGCGGATCAAAGTGCAGCAGGGAGAACGGGCACGCGGGCTGTTGCTCAGACCCGTGGCTCTGCTGTTTCTATCTCTGAGCTTTGCTGAGAGAGGAGAAACGAGAGAGCGGGTCTGCCTTCGTTAAGAAGGCGGGGCACGAGTGGAGAGGAGTGAGACTCATGCTCTCAGCGAGAGCATTCCATCTCAGTGAGTTGCAGTCTCTCCGTGGGGGCTGCCCAGACAGGCGACGCACTCACTACTCCTCTGCATCATGCAGGGCATGATCCACACTCGCAGCGCGAAAGAGAAAAATTTGCTCTTTTAAGAACTTACCTTAAATAAGCTCTTTTAGGCTCGCCTGATTGCGGCAGGGCAATTAGCTGGGATCTCTGCTGCTACGACGCTGAACATGGCGGGAAGAGCGCGCGAATCAGCCGAGTAGAAAGGTCGAAAGATTATATAAAGATTTTTATAGCTGATGAAGTTAAATTCCTATGAAATACATTGAATACTATCTGTTTTCCCCCCTTTAAAAGTCTAAATATTTACATACATACAATATAAATGCATATAATTAGAAATAAATTTCTCATACATCATAATGTCTTAAAAAACTGGTTACGTAGATAACAAATCTAAGTACTTTCAGGACACTGACAATAAAGATGGACAATGACAGAAGATAGAAATTCTCGTAGCTCTCATCAGAAAAATGGTTGCTACACACAAACAATTTGTGTCAGTAGTTAATGGCTAACCAACCGACAAGAGTCTAGCCCTGACAGCATCATGGGAAAAGCCATCACTTGTGACCCATGATGAATGCCTTGCTAAATAATTAAGAGAAATGTCTTTTCATTGGATAAGAACATGAAGTTTCATTAATAATTATGACACTGTGTTATCACTGTACTATAGTGTTTCGCCCAAGCGGCAGCCTTCGGGTCTCTCTCGTGAAACCAACACGGAAGTGACTAAAACGGCAATTCATCGACTGGCCGCTAGAGGCTGGCTCCAAAAGGGAGTCAGTCCCATAGACATCCCATGTTAAAATGCCCAACTTTACAGCAGAAAAAAAATGAAGTGACTCAGAGCAGTTCTAGAGATTATTTTTGTGTGTTCATGTACTCATATATTGAGGCGGCAGAGGCTGAAAACACTGCGAGCTTCAGTAGGCCTATGTGTAGTAAATTAAACCCCATGTCTGCGCCATTAATTTCCATGAGGGGCGGACTAGGAAAAACATTTCAGGCCGGGAAAGCTCACACTCATACACCCACAACAAATTCTGAAACATGGACAACCCTATTTTTTGTATGGACCTCACATAAAAAGGTTTAAATCCTTAGGTTGGGGACATGCAAAATAATTAAACGTTCTCTCCTGAACTGCACCTTCTCTTCCATCTTTCTTTTCAGTCTCTTTATTTTGCCCTGATATCTATCTCTCTCATGACTTTAATACTCAAGATTTAACAAAACTATACTTTCTAAATTGCCTACATGTCAAAATTAGTACATCACTACAATATCTTTATATAAAAATCCTAATACTGACATGTGTCTTGTTTCCCATTGGTTTGTTCTTGTCATGTGACCCTCCTGTTTCCTATAAGTAGCTTCATGTTCCCATTGTGCCCTGGTTGTGTATTGATGTTGTAACCTGCTGTCGGTGAGTCTAGTCTGTTCATGTCAAGTCAAGTCTGTTCATGTCAAGTCAAGTTTGGATTATTGTTTGGATGTTTGGATCACCTTGTAAATAAACTGCACTTGGGTTCTCACTTACGCTCGCCTTCATGTATTCATGCCATTGGTTCCCCTGTTCATTGTGTCATGTTCTGATTGGTTGTCTTAGTCATGTGTCTTGTTTCCCATTGGTTTGTTCTTGTCATGTGACCCTCTTGTTTCCTATAAGTAGCTTCATGTTCCCATTGTGCCCTGGTCGTGTATTGATGTTGTATTGATGTCGGTGAGTCTAGTCTGTTCATGTCAAGTTTGGATTATTGTTTGGATCACCTTGTAAATAAACTGCACTTGGGTTCTCACTTACGCTCGCCTTCAGTGGATTGATCGTTACAGATAAACTATGGTTAGTGTAGCAAAAACCATGGTTAATTTGTGGTTACCATGGTTTAACAATATTAACCATTGTCTTTGGATTTATAGTAAAATCATCATTCATTTTCGTAAGGGTTGTGTTGATGTCTGCCCTAGCTCCCCCTAAACCGATTATAAAATATGATTATTTGTCTGCTAAAAGACTACTGTAACATTACAATAGATAATAATGATGTCCTTTATACAGTATTTTGAGGGATGACTGATGAGCAATGGGCTGCTGCTGCTTAACTAAGTAAACAAAGACAAAACTGCAATAGCATATTTACAGATGAAACTGACCTGCACTTGAAACCCTGAACAGTAGTTGTGCTTCTCTGCTCCCCCTGTGCACTTCCACAGTCCTCTCCATTCTCTCTCTCTCTCGCATTGATTACTCTGATCCAACCGTTTGGCGAAGCATTGCGAGTCACGACTAACCCATTCATGATTTATTAGAGATTTCATTATCGAATGGCGAATTCGGAAATAATCGCTTTAGTACATTCGGCAGGCAATTATACAATAACAATATTAAAATAGCGGGCCAAATCGGCTGCCAGG